AATCAAATGTAGTTAACATCGAATTCCTGCCTTCCTCTAATATGGTTAAATAAATCATTATCAATAAATTTGCATATTTTTAGGAGTAAGTTAACGTATTTCTTCCTATAATTCTTCCTGTGAAATAATACTTGCATTTCGTGTTAAATTATTTAAAAGGTAGTTGAATTTCCATTAAATTTTTTTCTTATAATAATAATCACATCAAAATTGCAGTTATATGATTTTAGAAGGCAATTCAGCTTGTATTAAAAATACATGCTGAATTTTGTAGAAGTAAAATATTAAGGTACTTCTGAAATCATAAAGATATACTTTTGAAAAGAACACACCTAATATCATACAATACATTATAGCTATATGTAAATATAAGTATGTAAGAAACAAGAAAATTCACTTAATTCAATTTAAATTGCTTTGATTTATGACCACAGACCTAGATATATACAATATAATAATATGATATGCACAGAGTATCAAATGAAAGCACAATATAATAATAAGAGTTATAATAAAAGAAAATATAATAGAAGAAAGAATATATGTATATAATAATGATTGTAATATTTTTTTTTCTGTTTTGATTCATAATATTTTATTTACACATATTAAGATCAAAGTAATTTTCAACTTTTCTTTTAGATGCGAGCTATTTTTAACATAGTTTTTATGTTTTGATTATTATATTTTTAGATTTTTTTTTTTTATTGCACGTTTACTAATTTTGTTGTAATTTCTTTTTGGTTCTCTTACTTAAACTTAAAACCCATATGGTATATACTTGTATAATTCAAAATATATAATAAAGTAGAAAGCATTTAAGCATCTAAAGAAATTACAAACAAATATTTTTTTTATTTGTCGTGCTTTTTTTTTAAAGAAAATGATCAGAAAGCACAATATAAACAATAAAAATTTCTTAAATTCAATCATACTTAAGATAAACTCTTTGTAAGATATCAGAAATCTTATTTGAAATATAAAAAATCTGAAAACAGAAATTCGTTTTATGAATTAATGAAAAGTAATTTTAACCCTTTCTTTTTTTCCGGTTCTAAGAATTTTTCTTTCTCCCCAAATTATAGTTACATAGATTTACGTAAATTAAATTTAATTATAATTGAGAGCACTAAGTTTTTTTTTAGATACACAAGAAAACCCAAAATAAAATTGATTTTCTCTTGAAACCGGTGGTAAAGTAAGGGTTAAATTTTAAAATTTCTAATTCTATTATTACATTTTTCGTTTGATTTTTTTTTTAAATATCTAATTAATCTTTATAGAATTTAATTAATTGTGTCGTAAACTGTATAAGAATTCATTTGATATTTAGGTATATTTTTCCGATTTATCAATTCATTAGAATTTAGAAAAGAGAAATATCAATTAAATTTTTAATAGGTAACTCAAATAATTTTAATGACATTAATTTGAAATACAAGATAAAAATAAATTAAAGTTAATTAAAAGAATATTAAATTCAATTATAAGTAAATTATTTTTAGATTTACTTTTATTTTGATATGTATAAATGCTTAATCAAACAAGAACAAAAACTCTTTAGTCTGAAACCCCAAAAAATAAGGTAAAGTAAAAAAGACCGGCCAATTAATTTTTCGTCACATTAAAAAGAAAATATAAGAAATAAGATTTCCAGAATAATTGAATTGAAATTTTTTAATTTCATCTCTTAAATACGGTTTTAAACAAGCATTATTGGCATCCGAGTTACATTATTTCTGTATCTCTATAATTTAATAATTTAACCCTTATAAGCTGAATGATGTATACCAATACACTATTACTGCAATATCTTAGCGGATGTTTTACAATACAAAACAAGAGTAAACATCTAAAAGCATATAGATCAAATGTCAGTTCTGCTTATTCAACAGTAAAAATTTTGTTGTTGAATAAACAAAATATGATGTTTGTTTCGGCATTTAGATATTGTAGATGTCGCTAGAATAATAAAATTTTATTTTAAATAATAATAACCATAACACCATATTCATAGTTAATATAAAAGAAAAATATAGAAACCATGTAGTCGGTACTTGTAAGCTAATATATTTCTGCAAATAATATTTATAAGCTGAATTTGGTAGTGGTCCATTATCATTACAAAGGTAATAAGATCCGATGCCAATTATATATTTGCATATTTATATAATTTTGATAGATAGTAAGCTGCCAGATTTAAATGCAATGTATATGTATATTTATTTACATTAAAATAATTAAAAGTGGATAACTAATATTGTCTTAAGACCTAAACCTAATTTCGCTCGCCCTCTCTTTAAATAATGTGCACCCAGAAAAAAATTTCAGAGAAAAAGAAAATATTTTAATAAGCTAATTAATTTACACAGTCCGTTTAATTTTCCGCATGTTTTTTTTTATAGAATTTTCAAAATAAGCATAAATGTTATAAATCAAAATTCAATCTTTTTTCAAAAAGCAAATAAGATAAGAAAAAAAAAAATTATGGAAATTTTTTTGCAAAGATAATAATTTAACGATAAGGAATTTCATGAGAAATAATAGAAAGAGATAATAAATAATTATTTAAATTTTTGCAATGTATAATTACTGTAAAATAATTATGTATATTTATTTAAGTAAAAGTTACTTTCTATTTCCATCATGCATATATCCTTTAAATAATTTACAAAATTCTTATATAATCAATCAGATAATTTTCACAGTATATAATAAGCTCAAAAATTAGAAATATGTGTGAAGAAATTTAATGAAGGAAATAATTTTTAATATAATTTTTAATTTTTTGAAAAATTCTAGTTTGTAAAAGAAAATTATATAACAATTTGGAGATTGAACATTTTTATACTATAAAATTAAATAATATTTAATTTAGCTCCAAGATTAAGTTCGATTTCGTATAAACCAAACTGGTACGTAAATCACTATTTATATTTCGGGTCCTGGCAATACTAGTGCTGCCAAGTGCAATCTGACACTTCCATTGGAAAGTTTGACATTTTTTAGGACAACTTCACTCAGAACGTTTTGTCATTCGAGCGCGAATTGTTTTGTTTACAGTGACTTGAAAAATTCATCTCGGTCAAAAAATGGAATTGTCCCGTGAAAATTTTCGTGCGATGATTTTTTACGATTATCGGCGCGGATTATCGAGACAAGAGTGTCTCGATCAACTTGTTTCGACTTTTGGTGATGAAGCACCATCAAAAACCACTGTAAATCGCTGGTACCAAGAGTTTGGTTTCGGACGCCGTTCGCTCCAGGATGAATTTCGTGAAGGTCGGCCAATTTCGGTCGTTTTGCCGGAAACCATCGATGCTGTGCGCGAAATGATAATGATGGACCGGCATGTGACATACTGTGAGATTGAGGCATCCTTGGGCATTAGTTCCACCAGCGTACATAAGATATTGCATGAACATCTTGCCGTGAAAAAGGTGTGTTGTCGATGGATCCCAAAAAATTTGACGATTGCACAAAAGAAGGCTCGTGTCGATTGGAGCAAAGAAATGTTGAAAAAATTCAATCGCGGTGCGTCAAAAGACGTTTATAAGATAGTCACAGGTGATGAATCATGGATCTATGCATATGAGCCCGAAACGAAACAGCAATCGACCGTATGGGTGTTCCAAGACGAGCCAAACCCAACAAAAGTTGTTCGTGGAAGAAGCACATCGAAGCAAATGATCGCGTTTTTTTTTGGTATAACCGGTCATGTGGCCACAGTACCTTTAGTGGAACGTAGGACGGTCAATTCTGAATGGTACACCACCATCTGTTTGCCGAAAGTTTTCGAACAAATAAGGAAAACAAACAAGCGCCGGCGAATCATTCTTCATCATGACAATGCAAGCTCTCACAAATCAGCTGAAACAATGGACTATTTGAGCACTCAAAATGTCGAATTGATGGGTCATCCGCCGTACAGTCCTGATTTAGCACCCAATGACTTCTTCTTATTCCCTCACATTAAAAAAAAAAATGCGTGGACAACGATTTTCAACACCTGAAGAAGCAGTCGATGCGTTCAAAAACCATGTTTTGGAGGTGTCTCAATCGGAGTGGAAAAAGTGCTACGAAAATTGGTTTCAGCGCATGCAAAAGTGTATTGATCTTCATGGGGAATATTTTGAAAAACAATAAAACCATTTCCAATGATAAATGTTTGTTTTTTATTGCTGGACCCGAAATATAAATAGTGACCCTCGTATATGTAATTTCCACGTGAAATTTCAAACAATTTCACACTAAACACAGGGTAATTTTTATTTAAAAAATGCAATATCGCTCCCAGTGTACATTTTATTAAAATTGAAAAGAGAAAAAAATTTTCATAAATTTCATGTTTACTTGGACTACATGATACTCAGGGTTCATATGGTTCGAGTAAACATGTATAGTCTAGGATTCAAATTCCGATTTGTATTTAATATATTAATTATAGATATTTAAAAATAATTAATTTTGATTGTTTTTCCCGCTGCTAAAAAAGAAAATCAGAGAAACCTAAGCTAGATTAGGAAAAACGAAATATAACCGCGAAATTTCGTACTAACAATTAATTTAGCAACCAAATCTTATTTTAAAATTGATCTATAAAATTTTTAAAATTTTATAGAATAGTTTTTTTTTTTTCAATTTTTCTAAATTTCAAAAACAAATAAATATAATTTTAAAACTATATGCGTTCTATAAAATTTTAAAAATTTTCTTAATTTTTGAGCTTATAACTGTTATACATAATATCATAATTCTATCTCAATATTTATTTTACATTATTATAATGGTAGAATAATTTATATAGAAAAACAAAAGGGTATCTTATATAAATAAAGAATAGATGATGAAAAAAAAAATAAATAGAAAATATAAGAAAAAAACATTTAGAAATTTAATTAAAAAATATACAATTTTTGAGAATGCTTAAGGTTATTTTATTGTTTGTATATAGTATACATACATACATATGTATATAGAGAACATAATATAACACTTACCTCGTTTCCAATTTGCCTCATTTTATTTTATGTATAACAAGATAAATAAAAAACCTTAAAAAATTTTAATGATTTTGATGTTTTTTTAATTGTTGTTGAATTTTTATTATTATTTTATTAATTAATTAATATTATATTTTATTTATTTTAAATATTAATTCAAAATTAATTTTATTTAAATAACAAAAATATTTAATAAAATTAATTTGTTTTTTTTTTTTTGTTTTCTTTAATTTTCATTCACAATTTCTGAACATTTATTGTAATAATCTACTCAAAGTAAGTAGATTAAAATATAAGTTAAATTAATGATTAATTATTAAGTTGAAGTATAGGAGGTACAAGAAGAACTGCAAAATACAATTTTATATATAAAATATTATTATTAAATATTAAAATTCTTATTCTAAATTGTATAATTAATTAATTAATATAAATCCATAAATTATTATAAAAATTCCCTTAGATAAAAATTTATGTATAAAATTTGAATTATAAAAATTATTTTCTTTCAAAATTAATAATAATAGTAGAACACTTTTACATAGGCAATTTAAATGGTATAATTATTAAAAATTACATAAACAACCTCGTAATCAAATTGTTATACTCGTAAATAATTATTAATGTTAAATTATTTTTTAAATACACAAATTATTTATTTAAGTTCATAGTTCAATTAAGGTTTAAGTTTACTAAAAAAAAATTATTATAAAAAATCACAGCATTTCTATTTTTTTATATAATTTTTTACAATAATTAATTTGTTATATTGTATTTATGCATACATGCATTTACAATAAAAAAATTCGTGCAAAAATTTTTTTTTCTAATTAATTATACTTAAAAATCAATTTATTTAAATTTACTTTTTAATTACTTTCTTTTTATAATGAAAAAACCTATTTTAATTTTCAAACAAAAAAAAAAAAACAAAATTGTAAATTAAAAAAAAAGCCCGCAATAAAATATGAAAGACTGCAAAAAAACGGGAAAAAAACGTACACACACAGAAAAAAATAAAAAACGAAAATATGCAACTTCACTCATTGAAAGACAAACACTTAATGAAAGAATTGAGTTGAAATTTTTTGTAAAAAATCCAAAAAAAAAGCAAAACAGAAAAAAAAAAATTTGACTTTTGAGTAAGAAAAATAAAAACACACTTTTCGTTTTTCATTTTTTTTTAATTTTATTTTCTTCATTTTAGCATTGTTGATCAATCCAATTTTAACAAAAACAAGAAAAATGCAAACCATATGTACATAGCCGTATACTAACCATAATTACCTCTATATCTACCTCTAATAAATGTGCACAAACGTTTGTATGTTTATATAAAGTTTTCTATAAATTTTTAATGTACCTATACCATTCATTCATTCAACATAACAATAACATGTAGCATAGAGAGAGTTACCTACCACACCATACTATACCGCAACAACATTAGGTCCTCGAATTTATTTCAAATTCAATTCTCAAATGATATACCAAATTTATTATAAATGTAGTGATTTTACTACTTAAAAATTATTCAATATATTATTTTAATTAACATTTTATTAATTTTGCTTTAAATATTTAAGATCAAAGAAAACATCACAACCTTTGTCGCATACCCTACAGATTAGAACTCATAAGGTAAGAGGTAAACTAAGGAAATTAATAGAAAGTCCCAATCATAAAACTGAGGATTTCTTCCAAAATTTTCAAAGACCAAAATACCTCTTAGAAAATTATCACCAAAAGTGTTTGAAGATAATTATTGAAATGAAAATCAACTATGGTGGTGTGACCTAGAGATTCATTTCAGATTAAAAAACACTGCAGCAGGAAACAAGTCAAGGACGACACTTATAGTTTTTGTATGTAGTTATATATTTATAATTTTTCAAAAAAAATAAATACTATGTACAAATATACATGTATGTAGTAATTGCAACACAATTTTATGGTGATTTCATGGAAATTGGTCTCAACAAAGTATTTTTAAGAATAATCTGTTTCTTTAGAACTCAGGCGAGAGCAAAATAAGTTAACGTCAAACACGGTGCATTTTTTATTTATAAACATAACATCAATTATCTAAGAAAAATAAAAATGTTAAAAAAATCTACTACATTTTATGTTCTAGTAATTTTTGTTATCGTACTTATTTGTGGTAACACTTATTACCATAAAAAATGTTGAGAGAATAAAAAGCTTTAACGATTTACTTTTTTTCAAATAATATATAGAAAAGATAGAGGATTTTTTCAATTCTCTTTTTATAATTTCTCACTTTTTTTTTATACGAGTATATAAAGAGAGAGTATACAGAAAAAAAAATTATTATAATAGTTTCGGTATATTTCAATTGAACATAGAACAGGAAAACAGAAAGTAAAATTGAATAGTTCAATTTAAATGTAAGTAACGATAATATTAAATTTATACATGGAGTTGGATATTACTTGGAAGTAAGTGATAGATATTATACGTCATAGTATACAATGTGTTATAAAGTGAATTGAGTTGATAATGACGGCATTATACTTAAGGTTACAATTATTATTATGGTAAGTTTAAGAGTAACGTAAAATATTTTAAAAGTTTAACTTAACGATGGAATATAAAATTACAAATGGAAACTAAAAAAGAAATTACTTATCAATGTCTATTGTACGCAAATTTTATTCAAACAAAAGTGTTATACAAATAAATTTACATTTTAATATAAATATTTAAATATCATTCTTGTTTCAGTGAAAATATATAAAATACATTTTTTATTGAAATTAAAAAAATTATTATGAATTATAAAATTAATCAAAAACTCAATATTAAATTTATTAAAATTAAAGGCAATTTAATTTCTTTAGATATTTTATTTAGAACAAATTTTCAAACCAAACTTTTAATACGAAATCTTGCATATTATTTTATTCGCTATTTCGTTGATATAGTCGCATTATACCAATGCACAAGCCACTCATCCTAAATATATGCAAAAAAAAATATTATATTATTATAGAACAGTACAACAAAGTACAATTGTATAACTATCCTTGTATGACAATCTATCTACGAAACATAAACGGTAATTACGTATAAATTGAAACACAATATTTTTCACAAAAATAAATTTCAATTCAAAAAATTAAACTTAACGTTAATCCTCTCAGCTATAATAACATTATAAATATATTTGTATATTATTGTAAAGCAGGCGTTTATAAAAAGTTTAATTTATATTGAAAATATTTCACATAAATGCTATTAAAATTATTTTCACTTAAATGCTAAAAAATATATCGTTCATTAACTCTCTTTTCAGTTGTAGGGCAATAACGAGAGTATTATTATAATACTGTTACAAAGGTTGATGGCTAAGTTGCATTAAAGTTGAACTTTCACAATGTGCCGTATTTTTACGACTGGTGTGTAACAAATTCCTGTTCCACGTATTTATCGAATATATTTCTCCTTTCCTTTTATTGGCCTATTTTATATTGTTTGAAGCATTTTAATAGTTTCGTTAATAGTTGTACCCAATATTTTGATTTCAAACAAAAATCAATCAACAAACCAAAATATTTAAATTCTGATACATGTATCAAAATTTGATCATTTATATAAATATTTAACTCCAATTTTAATGAGCCAATAACCATTTATATTTGATTTTGCACACGTTAATAATGAGCTTTTGCACAGCTATTCATTTACCAATTTTACCAAATTCAGAATTCATTTTATTTTCTAATTGTTTTAAATTATAATTTTTGAGGTAAACATTAAATAAATAAATAAATAATGGTTAAACAGTTAAGGTAAATAAAACGGATTATGACAACTACAATGCACATATGCTTTTAAATTTTTATTTAAGAGAACACTTTAATTTGAAAATGTACCTAGTGATTACACTTAGATTAATAAATAGCTGATTTTTAATCATATTTAGAAATTTTATAATTCATATGAAATATAAAAATGTTTCGTTAAATATATTTTGTAATTTTTATATTAGTTTTATTTGAATAGTACAAAAATATAGAAAGTATGAATGAAATACTAAAAATTTATTTAAAATTTTTATATTTTTCGGGAAAAATACTTGGTTTATTAACTTTTAATATTAATTATAAATTTAAAACAATTGAAATAAATAACAATTTATTAAATTATTTTAAAATTTCACATTTTATAATTTGTTTATTTTTTCCATTAATAGTTATAGAATTAACATTGATTTCGGGTCATATATTTTTTACTATTTTATTAGATGCACTATTTTTCAGTTCTTTAGGATTTGTTTTATTATATATATTAATAAATTTTGTAAAATTTCAAGAAAATTTAATAAATTTATTAAAAAAATTATATAAATTATATGAAATCATTGATAATAAATTGAAAATAAATAAAATTATTGTTAATTTAAAAATTTTTATTGTAATAATATCAAAATTATTTTCAATATTTTTTTTAATATTATTTGAAATACGATTTACAATAATAGTTATAAATACAATGCATATAGAATTTTTAAATCAAAACAATATTTTATTTCTTATTTATTATTTAATTATTATATATTTAATTTTAATTCAATCAATAATTTTATGTATAATTATAATTGTTAATTTTATAATTGTATTGTATTATCAAAATATATTTAATTTTTTATATTTAAAAAATATTGAATTACAAAATTTTAATTTTAATTTAGAAATAATTAAAATAAATTTATTTAATAATATTTTTATTATTAATATAATATCAAATAAAATTCAGATAATTATTAAAATAAAAAATAAATTATTAGAAATAATTATATTTTATATTTTTATTAGTTTATTTACAAAAATTATAAGTTTATTATTTCATTTTACGATTGCATTCTATTTAAATAATTTATCTTTAGGACATTTATATCCTTTTTTTACATTATATGATTCATTAATATTATTATCATCATTCGATGAAATTATTATTAAATTTAATAATTTAAATATTGAAAAATGGAAACATGAATTATATAATATGGAAATATCAAAATTTTCAACAATAATGGTAAGTAGCAATATAAGTAAGTTATTATCGAATAATTTTCTAAAGAAGAAAATTGTGAGAAAAAGTTTATTGGGAATATATTGGTATTCCGACAATGTTCCTTGACACGAGTGCATACTGTGACAATAAATAAGCAGCCACATATATTCAAATATAATTAAAACACACAATTTGTTTTAGTTCATAAATTATAATTATTCTTTATTTTATTTTAATTATATTGTAATTATAATAACTTTTATTTAATATATTTTTATTAATTTAGT